TATCGTGATACATGTATATCTTTGTAATGTACTACTCATAAGGTTGCTGAAAATTCGTCGACACCCCACGACCGGTTTTGCCCTTCTTGGAGCTCATCAGATAGGCACAGTCCCCGAGTTTCCGTCAATCTTATGTTCTACTTGAAACCGTAAAATTCAAGGCACCGAAAGTAGATTGAGCCGGAGCTTATCGGCATAGTCTGAGGGGAAATAAGACAGTATTCGTACTCTTACGCGCAAAACGTTTCCAACGACATGCGGTACCCGAACCACCATCCCTATGCCATGCACACCAAGTCGGAAAGCCAACGTTGCTCCATGACCGACGTACACAAAACTACTGCTTTGGCCCCAAAGCAGCCAGTAAGCACCACAACGGGCACTTGACTTAAGTAGTTTAAAAAGCGTCACACTTTCCACTGAGTACGATCGGCTTACTCCAACCGATTGCCTCTGTCGCATGCAACCCCTCCCCAAATGCTAATACAGGAGTTTTCAGCAACTTTATGAGTAGTATGTTCCGTCACACAGTTATTCCTCACGAATTCTCCTGGGTTGTAGCATAAACAAATAGATAAGCCACCAATGGTCCCATTAAGTTGCATCACATTCTTCCAAGAACCACCATCACTTTGATGGTGGCCTCAGCATTAAAGTATGCTTCAAGGTATCGACAAAGTTGGAGATGAGCCTCAAGAAGGGCGAAACCGGTCGTGGGCTGTCAATGGATTTTCAGCAACCTTATGAGTAGTACATTACAAAGACAAGTTGGAGAACTTTTCCGAATGTCACTCGATGATACACTCCCGCCCCTGAGTCCTTCCGTGAGTTGACCTCCCACAAACACATCTTAATGGACTAGCTGTAAGTAGTGTTCTCTGAGGATTGCTTTTCCGAGGGGCAAAAACATTCACAAGAACAGGAAAGCAACCAAATCGGATCCATGCGATGAGCTTGAGTTGAGGTTCTGTTGAGTGGATTTCGTGAACGTCGCCGCTTTTGTGGGAACCACTACAACTGTTCGAAAAATTGGACGCGACTAGTCAGTAAGGTGGGTCACCTTGCTTGTTAAATTGGGCAGTTCACGTCGTCCATCACTGAATGGCACTCTCCGTTCTTCTAACCTACTCCCAAGGTTGGTGACATTGTGTATCTACACGAGGCAGTTGATGAAAACTGGTACCGTGGAGAAAACGCCGTCACTGGAGGCTGCGGAATGTTTCCTGCTCCATTTGTCCGAGTACTCTGTCCCCTGCCGAAAGAAAAACCTCTGTGATCGAAAGAACGTGGCTTTTTTATATTTATTTATCTATTTTGTGATATTTTATGAAACTGTTTCTAATTATTGTAAACAAGGCAGCCGCTTTTCCGGAAACGATGATTCAGTGCATCACAGTTAGCCCCCCACCACCACAGTTTTACTCACCTTCTTTTCAAGATGTATGAATTCGCGTCAAGCGCCTTCCAGAGTCCCCTCCCCCTTGCCGTGAAGGGCATGTTTTTCCCCTGTGTTGTGCAACTCATTTGGCGTCGTTTATAGAATTCCTGAAGAAGTCATCAACTCATCACGGTTTACCTGTTATTGAAAAAAGTTGTTTAACCAGCTTGCTTTTATTCACGAAAGGACGATTGTTCGACAGTGTTCAATCATAACCCGGGGTCAATTTTAGGCAAGCACAGCTATAAAAAGCCCAGGTGCCTCTTCTATCTCCCTAGCCTTCTGTGTCCACCAAGTTTCACAACGCGCTGAGTTTCGGTTGACATCTAATAATACCTCAGGCGGGAACGTTTCCCTCACATCCAAGCAGCGCTGATAATCCAAGGCTCACTTACCGTGAATCAGGCACCAAGATTAGATGGCTTCTTATGCGGGCAGAGTCGGGCTGCAAATCACACGGTGAGGAGCTAAAGCGGCCAGATGACGTGGACTACGCTAGCGAACCGATTGACCGTTCGCGACCTATGGAAGTGGGTTATGGAGTGTACATGGGCAAGACCCGAATGCCTGGTCGGGGAAGAGTGTCTTGGGAAACCAGTGAAATCGGTTTTTGTATTCCACTGCATACAGTCCCTGCTGAGTATGTCCTATTCCTGACCTTCCCGTGGCAGGGTTGTTCTCACTAAATTGAAGGGACAAAAGCGGGTGTCAGGCACTACGGATTGTTCGATGGTCATCATCCTAACCGGAATGCAACACCAGCGGTAACACAGCCGACTGAGCAGATCAAACTATCTTCACAATTCAACGCAACGCTATGATTCGAGATGGCTGAGTAGTCAGGGCTCGAACTTACTGATGAGATGATGATGGTTCGAACCCAACCCAGGCATTCCAACTACTCCTGTCTAGGGTTGGCGGTATCTCAGCTCTCGTGGTTCTTTCTGGTGGAGTGGCATCCAGGCACCGAAACGGCTTTTACTGCCAACAGCTGCTAATGGGGGTAGCGTTGACAAAGTTAGTCAGCGACGGTCCTATGAATGAAAGGCACGTCTAATGACCGGTCCTGTTAGCAGGAAGTCATCTAAAATTGGCGTCGACTCTGGCAGAAACGGAATTTGTTCGTTAGAGCAATGAGCTTTAGGTACGCATCATGGGGCAACAGTTGTAGACTTTCAGACAGTGGATTTCACACCTGAACGATCTTGGACTGGTTAGGTGGAGCCGTAATTAGCAGACAGCGGGGGAAGTGCCTTTCAAGGTAGGCAATCAGGTGGCTGCTGACCCATTCGCCGAGCCTGGCAATTGACTTGCCAACGCTTCGTCACCAATCGAGGAGACATCCTCAGCGCGCAGTTGGATGGGTGCAATCATCATCATCACCATCTTCTTCTTCTTCATTATCATCTTCATCATAATCTTCTTCATCACCATCATCCTCATAAAAGACAGCAACATCAGTGTTGGCGCTGATGCTAAGCTGCCGTACAATCACAAGGCTCGTCTAGTTGAAAAGAGAAAGAAAGTGGGTGAGGGAGGGGACCTAGTGCTGACCTATGCCAAGCATTCTGAGGTGCCTACACCTCAACCCGCTGGAAAGAGACTGACAGCACGAACGCCACTGACATCGATTAACCGCCATTTCTTGCAACGTCTCCAGTCAAGCACAGACGGGGTCACGGGGACCCCATCCTGGAGGGCGTGCAAGCCAATAACAATCTTGACAAACAGATCAACAGCCGCCTGATCAACTACCGGTGAACGCGCTTGAGACGTGGACATTTCAAAACTGACTGAAGTGCGCGATTTTCGGTCAGACAGATGCATAACAGACAGCGCGAACCCGGACGAGCGAATGAATTCCGAGGACGAACACAACGAGGAGGGTCACAAGAAATCGAAACTAATCTCTGAGTCTCTCAGACCTGCCGCAGTGAGCTTCATGAACCTACCACGAACGATTACAGTACCAAATAATCCCCATTGCCTCTGGTGTACAAGAAAAAAACAGCACAATTCAAGATAAAACTGTGTAACCATAAGGAATGTATCAGCAAGGGATAATAATCGGTTGCCTTGAGATGTCTATATGTGTGTGTGTGTGCACGCGCGCGTCTATGTGTCTTACCAACTATTATGCTGTTTGTAGCAAAAAAAGAATAAATAACACGTGACCATGGGCCGGGAGCAGTTGCATCGAGCGAACGGCTAAATGCTATTACGACTTCTCAGGCCGGGGGTGCAAACGACAAACCACAGGCGTACACACAGGTAGGTAGGAACGAGAAGGAAATCAAACGGCGCGCGCTAAGTCATTACGGTTGAAAGACAAATGATTATCGGGAAAAGAAAACGGGATTGTGAACGAGGCGAGTGGATTGACCAAGTTAACAGATGATACCGAAGGAACAAAGCATGGAGTAATAACATAGGTGGACCAGCTCAAGGATCACCAGTTCAAGCGACCAATCCAAGTTTCTTTTTTTACTAGAGGAAATGATATTAACACAAGCCCCGTTTGCTGTTATATACACTACAGATGAGTAGCTTGCCATATTACCGGCCATTCGACTGGAAACATGATAATATTTTTTTGGCGGTGGACGAAACAAAAACAAACCTCAGGAGAACCTTGGAAAGAAACGGAAAGTTATGAAGCTCTCGGATCAGTGTAGTAGACGAAATCGCAATTCGAACAGATAAATGCAGAGGTGGAACGGAGTAAAAAGATGGGGTCAAATAGGTGTGTGTGCATTATATACGGAAAATGGCGACGGGGATGTGGATGAGAAAGTATAGCCATATGCTCGATCAACGCGTTGGAATCGTACATCTGATGGCGACCGGACACATGCACCGAAGAAGTGAGTAGTATATACGGAACCACTGGTTTCTACTTTGTTCTCAGCACATCATCACAACCAGCAACGTGAGTCGGTTTGACCACCTCAACGACGTCTGCAAAACAGGTAAGCATACATACAGCATGTAGGTGAAGGTAGAGTAATTGAGGAGGTGGAAATCAAGTCAAGGGTGAGCAACAATGTCAGTACGTTCGGGGATCTGAGGAGGAGGACCGCCTGGTCGTCTGTACACGCACACACACACACAGAGTCCCACGGCGAAAGCAGCAGCAGCAGTACCGGCAAAAGTGAGCGTGACGCCCAGTTGAACCGCATGCGTGCAAACGGAGGGGGTGGGGGTGGGTAGGAGTGAGAGACATGCAAAACGAAGGGAGACAGTGAAGTACGCCAGAAACATGCAAAGTGCGTTGTGTAATATAGCAAGCAACACGTAACAAGATAAGAGGTTGATAAAATAACCACTCTACTAGGTCGAGCTGAAACGCATCCATTCCGTTCGACGGTACCTCTGAGGTGCGACTAGGTACGAAGATACAGGGTTAGCAACACGTATCGATTCCATTAAAAGTACAGGCGACTTTCCGCATACCCCGAAAAGAGGGACAGATTTAGGGATTATTTATAACAACCTTCCCCAATCATAAACCAGTATGATCCCACTTACAGTACCCTACATAAACGTCCTTTCTGGCCAGTTTTCTGATGCTTTCCGTCAAAATAGGATCCAATCAGACGGACCTTGTAAGTGCAGGATCATACAGCTGTTGACAATCCCTGTGTAATTTGCAAAATTGTTGGGGGGAAGACAACTATTTGTAAGTGGTCTGGTTATTTGGTGCTTCTATTTGGTGGGAAGCTCCTGCTGAGGGAAGCACAGACTACAGCACGTTCATGTGTATATGTGGATTCATCATGTGAACTGATCACGTGGCCTCCAGTTTACGGTTTGGTCTAATAACTAAAACGCCACCAAGACATTGATCAGCGCACTGAATCTCGAGCAAATCTGTCAAACAAACCTGGTCCATTCGCTTGGGTGAGAATTCAGGGACCGGCTCCGGCCGGTGCACTGAGAATGGGAGGCGACTTCAAGATCAGTCTGCTCAGTCACATGGAAGTGACTCAAATACAGCAAGCCACCTTATGAATCCCAAGATGGGAACCTAGTTACGTTCAGAAATGTGGCTAGACGATCGAACAAACGCAAGCGTTCTTGTGTCGATAGGGCGATGGCGAGATGGCCCAAGTGGTTAGAGCGCGAATTTACTGACCGGAAGTTGCGTAGTTTGAACCGCACCTCTGCATCCTGAGTTCCCCTGTCTAGGCTTGGGCAACCTGACAGTATCCCAACTCTCGCGCCTCCTTCGGGTGGCACGACAGCTAGGCACCGGAAGGGTGTTACTGCTGAACGAGCCCCCAGTTTGCATCGTACAAGAAACCAAACCACTATCCATCCTACCAGTCAGTCATCAGCGATGGCCGACCCTTCCCCAACCAGGTAAATAAACTCGACCGGGTTTAGGTCCGATGAAAGAAGAGTGATGCAATATCATGTTGAAGTGGGAGCTATTCACAGAGCAGACCAGAGGGCCTTGATTTAGCGATGCGGTTCCCAAGCTCATAAATCGTTCAGCTGTAGCGCCCTTTCTGTGCCTAACTGCCATGCAACCCAAAGGAAGCACGAGGGCTGGGATACTGTCAGGTTACCCAAGCCTAGACCCCAAGCTCATAGTAAGAATGTTGCGGTGAGTTGTGCACTGCTGACGATTCCAAACAAGGATATTGCTCCTCGGTTTCCCCGAATCCTATTGCTTCTCCAGCCAAACCAAGCGTCTGTGCAAGTTGTTGACCGATCCGCCACAGTATGAAAAGCCAAAGTAAGTCAGGTATCCATGAGTCTATCGGTGAACCGTTTCTTAACAACCATCTGGGCGGCAAGTTTCTTCTAGGTTTCCACTGTTCGTACTTTTCGACTGCAGTATAAAATCTGCATTTGAAACTTAAAAAATCCTTGCAACGAATTCAGAGCTATCTGATCCCCTTGACATAATGCTATGATAATTATCGTTCAGCTGTAGCGCCCTTTCTGTGCCTAGCTGCCATGCAACCCGAAGGAAGCACGAGGGCTGGGATACTGTCAGGTTGCCCAAGCCTAGACAGGGGAAGTCGAGAGACAGAGGTCGGGTTCGAACCACGCACCCTCCGATCAGTGAATTCGTGCTCTAACCACTTGAGCCATCTCGCCCCCTTGACATGGCTGTGGTTAGAACGCGAATTTACTGACTGGAAGGCCCGTTGTCCGAAGCCGACATTCCCTGTCTAGACTTGGGTAACCTGGCAGTATCCCAGCTTTCGTGCTCCCTTCCGGTGGCATGGCAGTAAGGCACCAATCGGGTGTTAGAGCTGATCGATTTATTCCCCCCCCTTTGACATCTCACTGAATTACAAAACAGACGAAAAACTGCGCGAGGGCGCGTCCAAACTCCATTCACCCGGGGTGTGGGGGTGATGATAGAACCTCTAATAGGTTCCCTGAAGCTGGCAAGCAGTTACGGACAGGCCAAAATGTAAGGAAGCCAACACAACAGGTTCAAAACGGACGTGGAAAAACGCATCTACTCTACATATAGGCTACAACAACTACGCAGAAAAAGGACACTACGACGAAGGCCGATACGTTGGAGAAAGCACAATGTTTTTGCAGCAACAATCTACGAGACAAAAGCAACATAACAACAACAACTTACGCAGGCAGTGCAGGTGGGAGAAGGGGATATTGGGTCAATAGATTGAACGTTGGGGAGGGGACTAAATCCTGCTGTGGCCTAGGAACCATGTCCGAATAGACGCGCCTGTTGCAATACAATACAATAGTTGGACAGAATGGGATAAAGAGTGACCAAATATGGGACAACAAACAGGAAGGCGATATAAGCTGGCAGAGACAACGACGGTGAGATGATGGTTACGACAGAAATAAAAACAAATAGCAAAAGGCACAGATATACACAAACGAGGCAACCCTCAGTGTGGTGTGTAGCGTACAAAGGACTCGGCAAAACTTGAGAATGGAACTAGTACGAACGAAGTCGAGCGTCTGGAAGTGGATTCGAACCACGGACATGCTACATACCCGACGGGTGTGATGTGAAGGAACCGTCGTCGCTAGCTCAATTGATACAATATCCGTTCATTAGAGGGACGTGGCTCGAAGACATCGTTTCTTGCTCACGTTACGTGTACTTGAACTCCAAGTTTCCACCAAGCACATGTCAAAGGTATCACGATGAGACGTAATGTTGAGAGTGCTGCTGTTCTATTGCAACCATGGGACAAAACTGTTTGACCAGTTATAAGACAGTGGCATCACCACCATCCTCACCGATGACGATGGAGGCTTTTAATTTGGTTTCGGCGTCTCGAAAAGCCATGTTGATTGCATCTTCAGGAACAGCTCGTGATGGCTCACTGATTAAGGCGCGAATTTACTGACCGGAAATTCCGTGGTTCGAACCCCACTGCTCCCGTCTAGGAATTCGGCGTTCGTGCTTCCTTCGGGAGCACGAAGGTAGCACTCTTTCGGTGCCTAACTATCACGGCATCCGAAGGAAACAGGAAGGCTGGGATACTGCGAGGTTGCCCAAGCCTGGACAGGGGAAGTCGAGAGGCAGAAATCGAACCACGGACCTTCTGGTCAGTAAATTCGAGCTCTAACCACTGAGCTATCTCGCGAGGCATGGCAGCTAGGCACCGAAAGGTGCACTGTTGTTGAAAATAAAAGAGTGCCCACGGGCGAGGAGTTAACAGAAGCTTACATGACGAACACGGCCGGCGTCGTAGTTACCATTACACTACTCACAAAGTAACAAATATACATAGCCAAAATAGGTGTTTGTTACAGGTTCGAACCGACTGCATTCCATACAAACACGGGTCCGAACAAGAAGCACGAAAAGTCACCATGCTCAGCAAAGTGTGACCTCGGAGGGTCTTGTCCTGGTCGGCTCAGGTGTCGCCAGAACGTGCCGTGTTAATACGGTACACAGACGTACAACATCAGTTAAGTTGCTCGAAATGATGTCAACAAAACTAACATGACTACACAGGTAAGAAACTGGTGTTTGAAACATACTTTTTCAACTCTGAGTATACATAATTTTTGGCCCTAGAACACACTATCGGCTACGACATTTGGGCTTTGCCGTCGTGCTTGAAAAAAACCCCGGAAATATGGCAGTTCTAGGTAGGCAAAATCAGAACAATAATCAAGCAAATCACGCGGCGTGGAACTATGCAGTGCAGAGCTGCGCCACATCCAGCAGGCGCGAGGAGGCCACAAAAGTACGGAGAGCAAATGGTTGAGGGTCAGGAAAGTACGCCAATAACCGATGACAGAAGCAACACGATCCATCAGAGAGTTATGCAGTTGTCAGAATCGTGTTTTCACAATCGAGACCAAGTGGTACAAAGCACTTCTTTCGACATAAAAATCGGACAGAACAGATAGTAGCTCCAAAGCAATGATTTTCCAATACCTCTCTAAGGCGGACACCCTTCCCAACAATATACCGATGTTGATGCTTGGACAACCTACAGTCCTACAACATCCGCCAGTAAAGATTAAATAAAACGTGCCCAACGATACCAATGAAATCGTACTGCGATATGAAAGTAAATTCGGTTTTGGACTCGCACGAACAAATACCAAATTTATGGGAATAAGCGCGTGAACGAACTCCCGATGGCGAGTGGGCTTCACATTCTTCACGATGGGGGAAAGATTGCCTAGGATACACAAGAAAATAGACGTAGTTCACCGATGAGTGAAACTTACGTGTGCGGTAATGGTCACGAGGCGGATCCGCTTCACACTAGAGATGCTAGACGTACCTGTGAGTCATGAGGTGAGTTTCTTGCGGGATGACTGTCTTCAGAGCACCTTGTCACTGTGAGTCCACAGAAGTTATTCACGGTGTCGGAAGGATCGACAACCCCACTATCGGAGCCATGGCTCTCTTGAGAGGCCTCAATTTCAGAATTACCTGTTACCTACAATACCCCATATGAGCTAATGTATGGGTTCCACAATCAGAAAGTCGTAACCAGTTTCATTCATGGAAGTACAAAGAGATAAGGGATAGGCACCTTGCCAAATTGATGAACGATAACTTTTTCATCGATTGTTATAGTCCACACGACTGTCCATTTCAGTCGCGAAACAAGTGATGACCAGGCAGATCGGGGTGCTTGAAAGCAGAGCAAAACCGAAAGTTTTTTCTCAACAATATCGTGTCAGCCAACAATGAGGCGATTGTCCCAAATCTCTACAGGCCACATTGCCGCTCGAAAGTAATGTGTAAAGACATTACCACTCACAAATAAAAGACCAAATCCAAACTGTGCAGCTGTTTAATCCTTATTGGGAATCATCAGCTGTGTGTATCTCACGAAACTCCGTTGGGGAGCTTCGAGGAGCCAATAAGCACGTGGTGTGCATCGCGTGGCTGAAGGATGGCTACATCAGCAACCTTATGAGCAGTACATTACAAAGATATACATGTATCGCGATATCTCGAATATCGTAGCGACTGAAACATGAGGCGGCCTGATGCAGCACATTCATTTGCCTGAGAACATCACAAAAGAGAGATTCAGCTAGGTTCCAGGTGAGTCTTTCGAAAAACCAAATTAGTTTGCAAATGAGTGTATATTCGCTGATGTCTACATCTTGTTTAAGTGCGAGTTAATCAAAATGGTGATCAGTCGGTAATGGAAGAGCGACGATGTGGGTTCGGAATTCTGCGCGCTGCTGAGAATTTCAGCTTAGATTGGTTTCATCTACATGGGTAACATAAAGAACATCGTGCCAAAAGCGATGGGAAGACTTCACTTGATATCGGGTGGGGCCAAGGTAGGGGAAAAGTGCGGTTGTTCGGAAAACAGACACGAGGGAGGTGAAGTAGGAGTAGATTAACTAACTCGGTATGTAATACCAACCCCAAATTCCACGAGTAGTGCGGAAATGTGCACAGAAAAAGAGAGATCGAGACTGAAAATGAACGGTGGAACTCACTGAGGAACCAATGGAGCGGGCAACTGAGGGCTGGAGCCTGTCCGACTAGGCACGGACGGAGCAGCGCGAGACGCAACCGAAGGTGTCAGCACCTTACCACCACCTGCTGAGCCACCCGGAGGAGGTGGTGGAGGCCTACGGCTACCACCAGGACTTGGTGGAGGTGGTCCTGTGGAGGCGTTCACCGACAGATTGGAATCCTGCTGCAACAGAGAAAACAGTATGGGCCGATTGAAAATCGGGGAACAGGTTATCAAGTTGGACAGACAAACCATCGAGCACAGGAGATTTACCTGTAACCAGTCATCATTGACCGGTGGCGGTATTGGGGTAGAGACCGTGGACATGGATACTTCACCAATGATGCTTAGAGCCTCCTTCATCGCATCGTACACACGAACCATCTCCTCGCGCTTTTGTTGAACCCCAAGAGACTCGGTCATTAGAGTGTTCTGGAGAACGCAAATATGAGGCAGTAACTGAGATAGCAAAGCGTACACACAAACACCGAAATAGCATTTTAAGGCAAACGGAAGAAACGGACACAGACGCTTGAGTATTTAGCAATCGATTTGACAAATCAATCGGCAGGGACAACCATTCTGTAGGCAAACAGTGATATGAAGTAGCTAGAGACAGAGTGAACACAGCAAAAGCAATAGGAAGCGGGTTCATGGATTTCTTACATCTGGGAACCAACCAATCACGAGAAAAAGCATGTCCAGTAGTGTCATTACGGCAGAGGTCGTACGACCGAACATAGCCAGCCATGATACAAACAGTATCATGAGAAGCAGCTCGGTGGAGGTGGAAACTCTACCGGTGGAAGGAAGAAGGCCTTCGCTGCAGATTTGTTTATTAGGAAATGCCAGCTGAGCAGTGACAGATTATTGGACAGGGAAGCAAAACTCTCATTTGCATCTTATTTACAAAAACTGAACATCCATCTTCACTTGAAAGCTGCTTTCTGAACTTTCCTGGCTATTCGTTGACTGTTGCTTAAATCCAAGCAAATGCTACAAAGCGGCTCCACAAATTCCGCAAGAGACGCAAAGTGAATTTACAAGAAGAAACCATACTACTCGCATGCCTCCCCATCAGTAGTATCACGATTACACCGGCATTACTCACCGGTAAAAGGATAGTCCGGACATTGCCAATGATTGTGTGCAGTCGAGACAGACTAAAAAACTCCCAATAAGATGCGGATCCCGTGTCTCGCCTTTCTAAGGAAACCTGCTACTTCGGTTTGGGTAACCCAAAAACCAATCACCGCCACAGCGTTTACCTTACTCTGGTTCTAACCAGATTACTTTCGCCGAATGAGACTCTGTGACATCGCAGGCTGAAACACACGCCTTACGAATTCACCACACAGCTACTAAACCGGTTGATATTAGGAGGATCGATTGGCCAATCAGGTGCGTCATCGATACCGCGTCTGCGAACTCCGCTCTTTTCACCCTCACCCTGCAACATTTGTGACGCGTTTGGGACACCCGAGCCGTAGATTCTTCACGCTGCCTGCAAAAGACCTGAATTCAAGATCCTAGCTCAGTCACACTATGAATTTCTCTGTCTCATCTCAAGAGGACAAACCATGGGCGGGGGACTATAAACTACCCACGCAGGCGTCTATCGCTCTTAGTGATGGAGAGAAAGTTGAATCTATGCTGGTAGCTGACTAGGAAGGAGGCGCGCAGAACAGACAGATGGTGCGAGCACCATAGCGATTTTAACTTAAGCGGGCGTTCCTCCGCTTGGAACACATTCGAGTTTTCATGACTAATCGCAACTAGTTCGCAGTACTACATTTGCATAATCCTGCTATGTTCCACAGGGCAAGGCCTCGATTTTGAGTCACGCCAATCCACTGTGAATCTCACTGCCCCGTTCTAACTGATTTCGATGTAATCAGTAGGTTGGTAGGGGGATGGCTACGAAATACTCTTGGGATCGGTCCTCAGGTTCACGGGTAGTACTGAATTGCAATTAGCTAACCAGTGGCTCACACTAAGGTTCTCTCAAAGCTAACTGGTTAAATCAGTGGGACACGGGTTACTCAGCACGATTGGCTCGGTGTGGTCCCCCAAACCTAACTGGTTGATTCAGGGGGACAAGGGTTACTCAGCACGATTGGCTCGGTGTGGACGGGGTCGTAAATAAGTGTCTCGGATCGGAAGGTTCCAGATCAACCAGTGTAGAAAGACGTCCAAATTCAAACCGATTTGTAGCCATGATGAGACCAGTTGTACTTGTTTGAAGGGAAACCAGAGTGGAAGCGACAACTGTGTGTGGCGATGTCAACTTACCAAGTCACCGGCTTGATAGAGATTGGGCAAGAGTTCGCCTTTGAGGAAGTTCTTGATCTGTGAGGTTCGGAAAAATTAGATTAGCAAGGTGAGATTTTATTTCGGCATAAAGAAAACGGAGCTTGATGGAGCAGCTGAATCAGACTACTTAGCTAACCGGAAACTTCGACATGAAGAAACTGACGTGTAGAAGCAAGAAACAGTAAAATTCGACAAAATGGAATGAAACAGTTCGTCAATGAGAAGCGGTGTGAAGAAGGGGCTAGTATAGGTAGGAAAATGCGCAACGCCGATCCAAGTTAGAGAGCCAACTGATTGGTTAAATCACAACCTGCGTCTGATGGACGGTCTACTCCATAGCAAAAGTGAACACAGCTAGCCAGGATTGTCCAAATCGAGTTCCGAACACCATTCGCCGCAGGCGCCTGGCTTCCTGGAGGATTTGGTCCAATGCGAAGGCCTCTTTGGTCAGATTTATGTCAGTGTCGCACCTAGTTTTATCATATTTAATTAAGTTACCTATTGAAATCGATAGGTGGCAGTCCTTACTGTGTTATACTTTCACACACACTTTGGAGAACAGCTCACAAAGGGAGTCTAGTTTACACACGTCTTGTAGACTTTCTGCGAGACGTATTCTTTGATAGGACTTTTTACCCTTTTCAACGTCAAAATAACTCACTGTCTCTTCCCATACAGTAATCTTAAGGAAAGTTTATTACGCTGGAGCAATTACTATCGTCGTGAATTTCGACGGTGGGGATTGGTAGTTGACGATTTCACCCATCTCAACAATGCAGACTACATGAGAAGTCAGTTCACCTGAACTGTGGAGCAAGCGAGTCGTCAAATGACCAATGAACCATGAGGAAGAGAAGATGGAAGGAGAGCCTCAGAATTGAGGAGCTTTGCAGCCAATTTGAAGGTGGCTGTTTCCTCAAAATGTGACTGTGGTCTGCTCCAGTGAATAGTGAAAGCTAATCTCTTGGGCTTCGATACCTTGGTGAACCGTTTAGGCGGACATCCCTAAAGAGGATTGTGACTTCAGCCATTTTTAGAAGTTCGAGGGCTGGACACCTCAGGACACAACGATTTGGACACAGTCGTTTAAGGTTTGTGGGGGGGGGGGGAACGGATTGTTGAATTTCCCATTGTTCAAATAAGGTTATAGGGAATCGCCATGCAATGCAAGCGGCAAATTTAGACTCCAACCTAAAGATGTCACCTTATCGTGGTGGTCGAACTTCAGTGCTGTAATGATTCTGTTGGCTACAACGATTTGGACACAGTCGTTTAAGGTTCACCTATGACAGAAGGGCCAACGAGGAACAGCCTCACAAAGAACAGCGAGTCCCCGTACGCGAGAAAGCGTAATACATGGCGGCCTCGGGCGGGGCGCCTGCGATCAAGTGGGTAATGTTATTGAGTGATGAGCTCTTGGAAGAGTCCTTGAGAAGCCCTCTACGGCTCTTGAGTCAGAGGCCAGAGAAAGGGCTCCCAAACAAAACTCTATCTTCCCATGCTTTGTAGGTCAGGCTTTGGAGTCAAAGGCTCAAGGTCGAGTATCTCAACCAAGCCTCCTTCGAGTTGGGCAACCAGGATGTATCAGTCGCCCTTGCAGCGATTCACTCAACGGTCCTCACCCACAACCTCTCCTCACACATCAAACGATGCACTGCGGTCAGCCTGTCAATTCCCTAACCATTTTTCCGAGACTAAACTATCGCCTGACAAAAAAAACTAAAATAATCCCTTACTAAACCCAGAAGATCTGATTCACGTCGCGGCATTCAACGTCTGTGCTCTGTGTCAAACAGGCATCTTTTGCTGAAACCTTGTTTCCTCTCTTTGTCGAAGTATGCTGTGTCTCTGGAACACGCATACAAGACCCCACACTTTGATCGTACACGTCGAGCCGCTTGGGATGAGCTCAGATGTTCCAAATTTCACTGTCCAAAATAAAATACATAAATCCTTCACCTGTAGTACCCTTTCGGTGCCTAACTGGGCCGCTTGGGATGAGCTCAGATGTTCCACATTTCACTGTCCAAAATAAAAAATATAAATCCTTCAGCTGTAGCACCCTTTCGGTGCCTAACTGCCAGGCCACCCGAAGGTTGGGATACTGCCAGGTTGCCCAAACCTAGACAGGGGAAGTCAAAAGGCAGAGGTCGGGTTCGAACCACGGACCTTCCGGTCAGTAAATTCGCGCTCTAACCACTTGGGCCATCTGTCCAAGTATCTGAAAATCCTGCCTAGCTGCCACGCCAACGGAAGGAAGCACGAAGACTGGGATACTGTCCGGTTGCCCAAGCCTAGACCGTAGTACTTACGGTATGCGAGTTGAACTCAGTCTCAGGGGTGAAAGCGCTCTACTAGAATGGATCTCATAGAACAGTTATCTAGGCACTGCACGGTTGTCGGGCCTAATTAAGCTCAGTGCAGATCGGCGCGGTGTTTATTTGCGGAATCAGCACACGCAATGCAGTTTTGAAGCTGAGAAAGTCGCGATCTGTCAGGATCATTCAATCGGCCAGTATAGTCATGCTGGCGGGTGGTACGAACGTCCAAGTTGAACGACTAAGCCCGGAAGACCCGCAGTTAGGTGGTAGATTTGGAAACGGAGAGTGGTATACAGATAATGGTGAGTGACTTATTCAACAGTGTGCTGAAAGTCCGCAGTTCTTGACCAGCGTGAACTTATACGGGCACGAAGAGGAGGGACTGACTATCTTCCACGGATGCCGCCGATGTGGGCCAGAAGGGGATATTTTTGGGTTGTATCACCGTGATTTGCGTATCAAGTCAGTAGGTACATTCGTGGATACTGGAGGCGAGTATTGGTCGAAGGTATCATTATCATCATCATCATTGTCAGCTGTAATAACCGCGTACCCGTGGTACAATGGTTGTAGCTGCCGCAGTTTCGTCCACCGATGATTTGGGGGAGAGGTAGGTAGCTGCGCATTGCAGACGGGAGCTGATAAATTGGTGCATAAATCCAGCACTATCAGTGGATGGTCAAGTGGGGGAACTGGGAAGGGAGCGATGCATTGAAGGCAATACCTTGGATGCACGAGCGCCATTGAGGGCGCGACTCGACCATGTCTGACAATGTCTCTAACCATTGATATGGCCCGTCTCGGGGTCCCCATCCAGGAAAACGGCAATTCGGTCGAAGTTAGCAAAACTCACAACTGTGTTATAGGCCTGTTTCTATTAGGATACGGTGGATAGATGGGTCTACAAAACTAAAACGGACGTTCCAGCCCAAAGCAACAATGAAGGTATCTCTGCAGAGTACTAGGCTGATGACACTTTGAAGTTGTCCGCTAAACGGACAGGTCTGGTAGAGGGTCCTTGGGGTTGCTAGCGCGTATGCGGATGACATTTACGTCCATGATACAAAACCTCAGGACCACAGACACACCACGGATGCCTGCTTTTTCATCTCGCTCATTGTGGCATAGCCAGCAGTCGAAATTTACGTTTGGGTGCCCCATCCACTTTGAACGAGAGCCAGTCAGTCATAATCAGAAAGACAAACGATTTCGACTCGGCAGCCACGTAGGCCCCAAATGGCGACATGCTGGCACCCAAAATCTAGAAAGCTACAAAGATCCCCATCGACCAATACAGAGTTGGCTCTGTTTGTCCATTCGCAGCAACGATGACTGGAAGAATATGGGACTTGTCAAATCGAGGGGATGCTGCGAGATATTTCAGGGACATGACGAAAGAATCTGACCACAGGTGACGTCCCTAGATCACCATAAAGTGACACCATACGTGGACGGATAAAACCGAGCAACATTTGAATTGAAAGGTGCAGATGGAGTGAATTATAGGAAACTACTTTTCGTTTTTCTTTGTGTTGCAAGAGGATCCCCGGACTGACTTTGTGAGATAACGCAAAATGCTCACCAGATTGCTGGTAACTACTGGGGAGTATCAGGTATCAAATTGACTAATTCAGACCTAGATAGATCGGACAGAACAAGTTTGTCAGATGCGATCTTGGAAATTGACCTTCATGCAGGTTACGTAATCCAATAACAGCGGAACTACCGGCAAAACGAAAAAGCTCCTCGCGATTCATAGACAATATCAATCGCATATCAGTTTCAGCAGCCACAGATTTCGAAGTGAATGAATCATATTCATACCGGCGGGAGAGCAAACCATGCTAGAAGGACCATAGACGCAATAGCGTTCCGGCGCCCATACCCCCAAAGAAACCACAAGGGCCGGGATACTGTCAGATTGCTTAAGCCCAAACGAGGAGCCGGGGTTGGGTTTGAACCACAGACCTTCCCGTGCAGTAGGCTCGCGCGCTAAACACCGAGCTATATCGAGCCCCTAGAACTATTCATCCGAACCACACGACTTACCTCGTTGACCAGCATATGCATCAACAATTTGGGGACCAAATCCCTTTGTGTCTTGTGCACTATTTTCATATACGACTCCACAAGATTGCGGATAATCTCGACTTGTCGCTCCAGTTGTGGGTCGGCTCCGTCCAAGGCCATTCCATCCATCTGCTGCAGCAGAACAAGTTGGAAAGTAGGTGTCATAGTACCAATTATAGTATGACGGAAGGACAGGAAAAAAAGCAACAACTATCAAACAAGGCGGCAACAGGAGAGAGAGAGAGAAGGCGCAGCGTTTGTGAACACGACTCACAGCTCGCACTGGCTGAACGACTTCCTGAAATGGAGTAGTTCTTGGAGTTATTTCGGAGTTGGAGAGGGGAAAAAGTGTTGAACATATATTATGTATTCCTTCTCTCAGCTTACGAGGATGAACAACCAACTTTGGAATGGCGAAAGAATTTTACTCGGTTAGGGGGGGGGGTGAAGTCTCATTAGGAGGGCAAGCGAACAACTTGATACAAGAACCACAAGAAGAAAAACCTGGCCAAAAAATGGAGCATGGCACTACAAAAGGCCTAGCTCATGGACAAGGAAAGTCGCCAAGAATTGGAGCATTGTGCCCGCCCTCCATTGAAAAAAAACAGAAGATGCCAGTCAAAGATTGCTTTCTACCGCAAGCGGGGTAGGATGTAGTTGAGATAAGTGACCACAATGTCCGACAGGTTGGGGAATAATATACCAGGAAACAATGAAGTGGTATCCCGAGGAATCCTGTCCCTAGGGACGGGAGATTTTCGCGAAAATTATAGAGAAACAAATCCCGCACTCCTGGTGTTTACTACTCTATAGGTACTGGTTCGTAAGTTACTCTAATAACGGGCGTAAGAGAAGAATAGGGTGATAAGTTCGCCTCGAAGTGGTTAACCGCTTTACCGCTCACATTTAGGAGCTGCTATGGCCAAAAAGCCTAATCCCGCTCGCGATTGGTCAAAAGATCGACGCCGCTTGTCAGCC